TACACATGTGCAGCCTCGAAATGTCTCGCTACGAAAGACGCCGGCCTCGGTAGAATTCCAAGTATGCTGGACATTGGAGCAGTCCTTCGGCGGCACTCCATGACGTGAAATAGTGGCTCTGGAGCAGCCTTCCTCGACATTGAGAAACGGCCCCTGTGTCTAGTCTGTTGGCCGTTTTTCTCCAGGTCTAGTCTTGTAAACAAAGCGTTTTTCATGAGTCAACTACGCTATAATTACACGTAGCAGCAACTCGTAAAGCATGAGAAGTAAGTAAGCAAGATGCACGTTTTTTATTTATGGATTATTAAATCCAAGAAGCCACAAAGCCGCCTCCAGCTTGACAATATGTTTGAGTAGGTAGAGCAAATGCAAAAGAGAAATTCTTCTATACAGCCGCAAAAATGAGAAGGAAACAGCGCATCCAAATCAAACCTGCAGCCTCTTATAATCTAGTATTCAACTCCTCATAGCAAAAACATGAATTTACCTGACTGGCCCCATACTACGGTGGCCCTGAAGTGCAAGACACCACAGCATTTCACAAAACACCACAGCATTTCACATTGGACGGAAAGGGTATTCCTTAGGGAGAACACTTCTTGTTTGTGATTGGACAGAGCCAGCCATAGAAGCACTGCTGTGATTGGTTGTTTTTGCTGCCAGTCAAGAAATGACGCTTCGTGATTGGCCCAACACATCAGCCGTTAGCTATTAGCACACACTCAGAGCTCACAGCTCCTCATATCTGTTCAGAAACTGGACAAAAGTTAAACATATACAAAACACAGACTGTCTGTGTCATGGCGAATACAGTCGCTGCTTTATTTATGTCTGTATGACGTTGTTGTGAGTGTGGACGGAGCAGCTACAGGTTAGTTTAGCTTGATGGATCCGATTCCGATAGGATTTACATGGAGATACGGCCCGCCCCCTCTCCAGCGTCTTGTTTGAATGACAGGAGTAAACACAGAATTAATGCTTTATTAATTCATGGTTTTTAAGGGGCTTATCTCCATGTGAATACTATGGTAGACCTCCCAATATTCGCATCGCTCTAATAGCTCGAGTTTCACCGCGGCTGTCAGCTGTGTTTGCTCCTGTCATTCAAACAAGAGGCGCTGAGAGGGGGCGGGGCGTATCTCCAAGTAAATTCTATGGGAGATACCAACTACAACAAAATGAACATATTTGACCGTGATTTAATTGTAATACACGTTTCAAAGTGATGCCGAAGTAACAACATACTGATAACGGTTAGTAAAAACCATGAATTAACGCTTTGACAAGTCTGCAGACAGACGGCAGGCGAAAAGCTTTTAAAATGTGTGTTTTCTGAATGGAATCGGATCCATCAGGCTAAACTAACCTGTAGCTGCTCCGTCCACACTCACAACAACGTCATACAGACATAAATAAAGCAGCGACTGTATTCGCCATGACATAGACAGTCTGTGGTTTGTACATGTTTAACTTTTGTCCAGTTTCTGAACAGACATGAGGAGCTGTGAGCTCTGAGTGTGTGTGCTAACGGCTGTTGTGTTGGGCCAATCACGAAGCGTAATTTCTTGACTGGCAGCAAAAACAACCAATCACAGCAGTGCTTCTCTGGCGGCTCTGTCCAATCACAAACAAGAAGTGTTCTCCCTAAGGAATACCCTTTCCGTCCAATGTGAAATGCTGTTGTGTTTTGTGAAATGCTGTTGTGTCTTGCACTTCAGGGCCACCGTACCGTACCCTTATATCTAAACTGTACACTCCTTTGTTTACAGTCCAACTTTGTGTTAACCGGAACCGATGTCAGCAGCTGATACCAACACCTTTCCAAATAAACAAGATTTGAATAAACAAACGGAAATTCCCTTTTTTCAACATTTGACACAGCATTACACGAGGTCTTCCTGCTGTTTCATAACGAACCACCAAAGCTGGAGCAGGAAAACATTTGCTGCATGTTGGTATTTAAATGTTGCGAGGGGCTGAGTGGTGCTTTGAGTAAAGAGCCGCTAATAACATGCGTCTGTGCAGGATGCTGCGGCTAAGGTTGTTCGCAGGGTCGGCGTCATGGGGGGTCATTCGCGGGCCATGCCCCCCCAAATGAGTCACTGTGCCCCCCCAACGCAGGGTGGGCAAGCCTTGTCACTTTGCCGATTTTTTCTTTTTTTTATCATATAGCTAGGCTAAGTGAAAACGTTTCCACTAAAGGTTTTTTGTGTGAAATACATCAGAAATAAATAATACAAATATAAAACACAGCCTGAGGTGTGCTCACTGCTGCTCTCTGATTGGTGTGTTGCTTGACCAATGACCCCCGACCTTTTTTTTGTTATCATTACGTGGCTGAGTGTTTAGATGAAAGCCCAGTGGCGATCTGTTAATCTGTTACACTGATTATACAGTAAAGCCATCAAAAATAATATGATATACAGTACAGTACAAGTACATGGGTCTCTGTGTTTCATTCAAGCTCTGTGTGTGTGTGGCACGAGCGCATTTTGTGAGTGCGCGAGCGGTAACGTGGAATGTTGTGGTTAGCATCTGGTTAGCTAGCTATGCTAACGGATATAAAGGGCTGTTTCTACACCAAGGTGGAGGACAGTCCTCTCCTGTCAGACTGAGAGGATCTTATAACGTCAGCTCAGTGAGGTAACGACTCTCTCCGTGTTTAGATAGTTCACTTTAGTGTAAGTTATCTCAGTGGGTCTCAAACGGTTTGGTCACCATTTATGTAAGTATTTTCGAGGAATACCTTTATATGATCATTATAGTTATTAAAGAGAGAATAAATGAAAAACGGGTATGAAATACTATAGGACAGTAACACAAGAATACAGTTTAAAAGGGGAATGATTAGTGAAATATCCATAAAGAAAAAGTAAATCTGTGTACAGTTCTGTTTCATATGGATGCTGAGAGATGTAGGCTATCCATAGATCTCTTCATTTTGCTCTCAAAGTGCACCAGATTGATGCATTTAACTTCAATATTTTAAAAATAATCTTCCCGGGGGAGCATGCCCCCAGACCCTCCTAGAGGAGGTTAGGTCCACCCCCACCTAAAACATGTTCACATGGATAGGATACTAAATACATTTGCACACTTTTTATATGATGGCCAGTCCATATCAAATCAGATCAAGTTTTATTTATATAGCACATTTTTCAACGATTTTTGGTCGAGCCAAAGTGCTGTATATACAGTATAATACAAAAATAACCTACAGTAAAGACACTTTAAAGCAAATACAACAGCACAGTTTGTGCAGAATATCAGTATGAGAAAACGACACCCTCTGTCCTTATATGTTTCTGTTTTGGTGGTCGTGCCACAACCGTGCATGTATGCACAAGTCATAGGTGCACTATACAATAGCACTACACCCTGCAATGTGTGTGAAAGACAATAGACTTTACAGCATGTTTTTTTAAATTGAAGTTGGTGTTTGTGTGTTGGTTGTTGACGGCAGTGTGTGCCCCCCCTTGGTAAATGATTGCCCCCCCATTCAAGTTGTTCTAGAGCCGACCCTGGTTGTTCGTTCAACAAACCATACAAATAATCAGTCATGTGAATAAAGCAGGTTTACTTTATCACGCTGAAGTTTAAGGGCTTTGTGGATTCTCAAACTTATCTGTCTAGAATTTTTACTCAACATAAGAACTAAATACACTGTGTTCCTTTTTGCTTCTCTCGACCAATGCTCTCTAGACTGTTGAACCTAATGTTAGTGACACATGATTCCTCTTCAATACATTCCCTCCTCTATATCCTTCTACTTTAATCTAGAGGCCTGCATGTTGTTGTATGGATATTTCAGCAGTGGCTCTTTTGTGAATTTGACTCTTTAAAGGGCAGTGCTTCAAGCGATCATCGCGAGGGAGAGCAGTGTGTGGTGTGTGGTGTGTGTGTGTGTGTGTGTGTGTGTGTGTGTGTGTGGTGTGTGTGTGGTGTGTGTGTGTGTGTGTGTGTGTGGTGTGTGTGTGTGTGTGTGTGTGTGTGTGTGTGTGTGTGTGTGTGTGTGTGTGTGTGTGTGTGTGTGTGTGTGTGTGTGTGTGTGTCTTTAAAGGGCAGTGCTCATGACATAAGCCAACTACTCTGGAGAGCCAGGAAGCAGTGGAATCTGTGTCCTGCTGCTGTGGTACGAGGGTCAAATAGCAATGTCTTATTAGCTTGTTGTTATGTTAGATTAAATAAAAAAGACAACCAGGATGTTACTCTCCAGACAGGGAGATTTGGGGCCAAAAATACTACAAAAATATTGCTCAAGAGGCCCCTTAATGCTCTCAAAATAGTAGTAGCAACATCCTATGTTTACACTTAACATATGAACACAAAAAAAGTTTTCTGAGCAATGTAGAAAGTAACAGACACGTTGCACCAACCGAGTTAAGGTCGAAACACAGTAGAAACACAAGGAAAAAAGGTTTTCTGCAGGAACGTAAACACCTGCAGTTTATAATGAGTTGTAATGTTTTTTTAACTGTTAATTTTCATTTTTACAAATCAAGACATATCCAGACATAGGACTTTTATTCAAATGACAAATAATAATATGGTTAAACAGAATATTAAATAAAAATAAATAAATAAAGTAAAACGGTTATAAGTTAAAATAAGGAAACAAATAAGATAATTATAAAAAATATATTAATAATAGTAAAGTAAATACAAATAAATAAAAGCATTTCACACAAGGAGTGACATCTTTAGCAGAGCAGGATCGGTTACACCAAGGGTGCCCACACTTTTTCAGCTTGGGAGCTACTTTTAATTTGACCAAGCCCAAATGAGCTACCTACAGGGCCGCCCCTGCCCAATCTGTGTCTCGAGCGGGGGGGGGGGTTGGTGCTAGTGGACTAAACGGATAAACTGTGGCGCGCTTACACTAATTGCGCCGCATAAGCGCATAATAGTGCGCTGCATTTGCGCTTCAAATGAGGAGGTGAGGGTTACATTTTCCATAAGTTATAATGGTTTAATGGAAGGTTTTATTTTTTCTGTTTCAGGACGATTCGGGAGCCTATGTGATCGACAGAGATCCGACGTACTTCGGTCCGATCCTGAACTACCTGCGGCACGGAAAACTGGTCTACAACAAGGAGCTCGCTGAAGAAGGTCCGACATGTTTTGAGTCTGAGTTTATTTTAAATGTTGGGCTTGTGGAAATAATGAAATGGCTTAAAAAATACTGTGTATCTCCATACTGCCTTCATGTGATGTCATTTTCCCTCGAGCAGTCCTTAGTTTCTAGTTTCCTAAATGTGAAAATATACCATATACAGATAACTAAATATTGTATCTTGTAATTGTTGCTTGCTATAAAATAACAGAAAAACTGTTAAATGTTTTGCTTAAACAAGGCTAAAAATAATGGATACATGTTTGTAATAGTAGCTTAAGGTGGGCTAACAGGGCGTCCGCGGGGTATTAAAAAGTATTAAAAGTTGATAAATCAATGTGACGGGGTTCTATTTGTCCGTTGAAAACATAGGCTTAGTCGGATGATTTAAGCTCCAAAACTTTATTTATAACAGCAACAAAAGAATATATACTGTTTGATAAAAGTGAAACAGTATAACTTAAATAAACAAAATCAAAGTTACCAAATTTGGTTGTCTATTACTCATGGAGTAAACACATTCTAGCTGTTGCCTTCACTGCAACAATCTCCCGAATGATTCTTCCAGGGCCAACACCGTCCCTTTTGTACCCATAGCCCCTCCCCACAGGCTTACCGTCAACCGGTTACACAATTATCTCCAAACCACATTGTCAACATAAATGTAATTTCCTCAAACATGAGGAAACTATCTGCACCAAACATACACAGGTTAACTACCTCTTAACAGTCATTCCCCATAATTAATAAACACAAAATAAATAATAAATTGCATCCTATTTAACTCACGGAAGTGATGCGCCTCCGTCTTTTCCACCTTCCCTTTGCTGGGGAGACGGCGGTGAAACTCCGCCCGCCGCTCCCCACGTAAGTATGGTGTAATATAGTTAAATGTATGTTGAAATAATTGTAGACTCACAAGCGTGCACTTGTGGTCACGCTACAGAAAGGAAGGGGAAAAGGTGGACGTTTTAGTGATGATTTAACCTGATTTATTGATGAACGGAAGAGAGCAGGAAATGTGTGTGTGTGTGTGTGTGTGTGTGTGTGTGTGTGTGTGTGTGTGTGTGTGTGTGTGTGTGTGTGTGTGTGTGTGTGTGTGTGTGTGTGTGTGTGTGTGTGTGTGTGTGTGGTGTGTGTGTGTGTGTGTGTGTGTGTGTGTGTGTGTGTGTGTGTGTGTCGCCGCTACGGCTGTCAGTGGCGGAGTCAGTCACTCTGTGATCCGCTCCGTCACAATCAATTCAGGCTATTAAAAAGTATTAAACGGCATTTTCCAAGGTATGACATTCTGTAGCTTGTTTTCAATAAGTATATAAATGGTCCAAAGAGGTTGTATTCTACAGTCTGCCTGAATGTAGTCATGGCGTAGGTGTGTAGTGTGATTCTATGTAGTTTATTGATGGCATCCCGTTGGGTTTGACGTCATCTGAACAGGACATCGCACGCTCACTGCTTGATAGCGCGAAGGCCCGTTTACGCCGGTTGCTAAGCAACATCGTTATGGGGAAATGCAAGTCTGCGTCCAAATGGTTGGAAGATAAGGAGGAAGGACAATCAATACTGAATATAGTCAATGTGAGGTAAAGTGTGTCGCCAAGGTAACCGGTTAAAACTCAAAGTGGCGATGAGGTCTTAAAATGTATGGAAAGGGTCTTAAAAAAGGTCTTAAAAGGGATTACATTTGACTTCAGGATTCCTGCATATACCCTGGCTAAAGACAGATAGCAAAAAGTAGAGGAGATAAACAGAGAAAATACAAAAAATCACACCCTCTTGTGTATAATTAATAATTAATTAATATGTAGTTGAACATCTGCTCAAATGGACATGATTGGTGCTGTTTGTAAATAAACTGGATTTGATATATTTAACACAGTATTTAGAGCCTCTTGTCCTCAGTATTTAGGGACGGGTGGCGCAGTGGTCTGTGTGTTTGATCATCAGATCAAGGGGGCGTTGGGGAACTCCAGTTTGAAACCCGCTCCCGCTCCACTGCGTCAGGCCGTTGTGTCCTTGGGCAAGACACTTCACCCGAATTTGCTCCTGTGGGTATTGTCCACAGTAGATGACCATTATATGTATGATCTGTATTTGTAAAGCGCTTTGAGAGTCTTTGATAAAGCGCTATAATAAATATAAGGATTATTATTATTATTAGTATTTAGAGCCTCTTGTCCTCAGTATTTAGAGCCTCTTGTCCTCAGTATTTAGAGCCGCTTGTCCTCAGTATTTAGAGCCTCTTGTCCTCAGTGTTTAGAGCCGCTTGTCCTCAGTATTTGGAGCCTCTTGTCCTCAGTATTTAGAGTCACTTGTCCTCAGTGTTTGGAGCCGCTTGTCCTCAGTATTTAGAGCCTCTTGTCCTCAGTATTTAGAGTCACTTGTCCTCAGTATTTGGAGCCGCTTGTCCTCAGTATTTGGAGCCGCTTGTCCTCAGTATTTAGAGCCGCTTGTCCTCAGTATTTAGAGCCGCTTGTCCTCAGTATTTAGAGCCTCTTGTCCTCAGTATTTAGAGCCGCTTGTCCTCAGTGTTTAGAGCGTCTTGTCCTCAGTATTTAGAGCCTCTTGTCCTCAGTGTTTAGAGCCGCTTGTCCTCAGTATTTAGAGCCGCTTGTCCTCAGTATTTAGAGCCGCTTGTCCTCAGTATTTAGAGCCTCTTGTCCTCAGTATTTAGAGCCGCTTGTCCTCAGTGTTTAGAGCGTCTTGTCCTCAGTATTTAGAGCCTCTTGTCCTCAGTGTTTAGAGCCGCTTGTCCTCAGTATTTAGAGCCGCTTGTCCTCAGTATTTAGAGCCGCTTGTCCTCAGTATTTAGAGCCTCTTGTCCTCAGTATTTAGAGCCGCTTGTCCTCAGTGTTTAGAGCCTCTTGTCCTCAGTATTTAGAGCCTCTTGTCCTCAGTGTTTAGAGCCGCTTGTCCTCAGTATTTAGAGCCGCTTGTCCTCAGTATTTAGAGCCGCTTGTCCTCAGTATTTAGAGCCTCTTGTCCTCAGTATTTAGAGCCGCTTGTCCTCAGTGTTTAGAGCGTCTTGTCCTCAGTATTTAGAGCCTCTTGTCCTCAGTATTTAGAGCCGCTTGTCCTCAGTGTTTAGAGCGTCTTGTCCTCAGTATTTAGAGCCGCTTGTCCTCAGTATTTAGAGCTGCTTGTCCTCAGTATTTATAGCCGCTTGTCCTCAGTATTTATAGCCGCTTGTCCTCAGTATTTAGAGCCGCTTGTCCTCAGTATTTGGAGCCTCTTGTCCTCAGTGTTTGGAGCCTCTTGTCCTCAGTATTTAGAGCCGCTTGTCCTCAGTATTTAGAGCCGCTTGTCCTCAGTATTTAGAGCCGCTTGTCCTCAGTATTTAGAGCCGCTTGTCCTCAGTGTTTAGAGCCTCTTGTCCTCAGTGTTTAGAGCCTCTTGTCCTCAGTGTTTAGAGCCTCTTGTCCTCAGTATTTGGAGCCTCTTGTCCTCAGTGTTTAGAGCCTCTTGTCCTCAGTATTTAGAGCCGCTTGTCCTCAGTATTTAGAGCCGCTTGTCCTCAGTATTTAGAGCCGCTTGTCCTCAGTATTTAGAGCCGCTTGTCCTCAGTGTTTAGAGCCGCTTGTCCTCAGTGTTTAGAGCCTCTTGTCCTCAGTGTTTAGAGCCTCTTGTCCTCAGTGTTTAGAGCCTCTTGTCCTCAGTATTTAGAGCCTCTTGTCCTCAGTATTTAGAGCCGCTTGTCCTTAGTGTTTAGAGCCGCTTGTCCTCAGTGTTTAGAGCCTCTTGTCCTCAGTATTTAGAGCCGCTTGTCCTCAGTATTTAGAGCCTCTTGTCCTCAGTGTTTAGAGCCTCTTGTCCTCAGTATTTAGAGCATCTTGTCCTCAGTATTTAGAGCCGCTTGTCCTCAGTATTTAGAGCCGCTTGTCCTCAGTATTTAGAGCATCTTGTCCTCAGTATTTAGAGCCGCTTGTCCTCAGTATTTAGAGCCGCTTGTCCTCAGTGTTTAGAGCCTCTTGTCCTCAGTGTTTAGAGCCTCTTGTCCTCAGTATTTAGAGCCGCTTGTCCTCAGTGTTTAGAGCCTCTTGTCCTCAGTATTTAGAGCCTCTTGTCCTCAGTGTTTAGAGCCTCTTGTCCTCAGTATTTAGAGCCTCTTGTCCTCAGTATTTAGAGCCGCTTGTCCTCAGTGTTTAGAGCATCTTGTCCTCAGTTTTTAGAGCCGCTTGTCCTCAGTGTTTAGAGCATCTTGTCCTCAGTATTTAGAGCCTCTTGTCCTCAGTATTTAGAGCCGCTTGTCCTCAGTGTTTAGAGCATCTTGTCCTCAGTGCTTAGAGCCGCTTGTCCTCAGTGTTTAGAGCCTCTTGTCCTCAGTATTTAGAGCCTCTTGTCCTCAGTGTTTAGAGCCTCTTGTCCTCAGTATTTAGAGCCTCTTGTCCTCAGTGTTTAGAGCCGCTTGTCCTCAGTATTTAGAGCCTCTTGTCCTCAGTGTTTAGAGCCTCTTGTCCTCAGTATTTAGAGCCTCTTGTCCTCAGTATTTAGAGCCACTTGTCCTCAGTATTTAGAGCCGCTTGTCCTCAGTATTTGGAGCCGCTTGTCCTCAGTATTTAGAGCCTCTTGTCCTCAGTATTTGGAGCATCTTGTTCTCAGTATTTAGAGCCGCTTGTCCTCAGTATTTGGAGAATCTTGTTCTCAGTATTTAGAGCCGCTTGTCCTCAGTATGTAGAGCCGCTTGTCCTCAGTATTTAGAGCCGCTTGTCCTCAGTATTTAGAGCCGCTTGTCCTCAGTATTTAGAGCCGCTTGTCCTCAGTATTTAGAGCCTCTTGTCCTCAGTATTTAGAGCCGCTTGCCCTCAGTATTTAGAGCCTCTTGTCCTCAGTATTTAGAGCCGCTTGTCCTCAGTATTTAGAGCCGCTTGTCCTCAGTGTTTAGAGCCGCTTGTCCTCAGTGTTTAGAGCCGCTTGTCCTCAGTGTTTAGAGCCTCTTGTCCTCAGTATTTAGAGCCTCTTGTCCTCAGTGTTTAGAGCCGCTTGTCCTCAGTATTTAGAG